CGCCGCCCACACGATAATTGCAACAAAATGAACACAAACGTTTTTAAGATCGGATACATTTTATTTTATAGCAAATACGTGAGATCAAAAACCCAAAAATTTTCTATAAAGCGAAGACCGAAAGTTATCTCATTTGAGATGTCACGGTGATAAGCGTACACTGGATACAACGTGTTTAAACGAGACAACAATGGCGGCGTTCTGATGTCATTCCAGTATGGTCAATATGACACGTTTGACGATGATGAATGCCCCATCAACCACCGAATCTAACCTCCAAAACAAATAATTGTCGCAATCACCCCAAACTGGATACCATTTCTACATTAGTTCCCACTTGAAATGTACAATACCGGACCGCAAACATGTGACCTACCATTCTCTCACAACGGAGCGATGATTGATGGTCCCGTCAGAAAGCGGTCACGTGATCTTGATCGATTGATTGATGATGATTTTAAGTGTAATAAATGGGAGATCTTCGTCTTTTCTGTCATCGCATCGGTTTATCATCCTGCCACCGTAGCATCGCGTGCCATGGCCTCCTTATACTGCTATCGTCGATAATGTTGTCAACATACTGGTCGTATATATATGGAACCTGAAGTATTTCTATCAATATAAGGCGCATTGCAGGAAGGTTAAAGCATTCACTGGATTTCTCAAACGTTTGTTGGTCATAAATCGATTCATTTAAAAAAAAAAGTGCTTGGAATATTTTGTTAAATCACGCGATTCTATCAATGAGTGACGTTTTTTCTGAATTCATCACGACGCACCTGGTGTATTTATATTGATAAAATGAAAATTTTTGAATGTTTTAAATTACAAAATAATTAGTCTGTAGTCTGTAGTCTACACATAATAATTTATATCTTACGTATATTCACCCCCGTGCTTGGAATATTTTGTTAAATCACGCGATTATATCCATGAGTGTCGTATTTTCTGAATTTATCTAATGGCGTATTTATATTAATAAAATGCAATTGTTGAAGATGAATGTTTTAAATTACAAAATAATTAGTCTGTATATAATAATTCATATCTCACGTATATTCACCCCCCTCTTGCCATTCTGGCTGGCTAATGATAGCATTCAAAATAGCTAAACACC